AACGTGATGTCTAGAAGCGTGTCAAGTGGCTTTGTTCCGTGTTAACGTGATGTCTAAAAGCGTGTCAAGTGGCTTTGTTCCGTGTTAACGTGATGTCTAAAAGCGTGTCAAGTGGCTTTGTTTCGTGTTAACGTGATGTCTAAAAACGTGTCAGTTGGCTTTGTTCCGCGTTAACAAGACGTGGAAAATGCACCAGTTTACGTTGATCGTGAAGTCGTATTATCAACACGAGCACAGGGTAATTGAATGTATTTACGTGCAAGTCATCCCGGTTCAACCACGTGAACACATCATTACTGCATGAGGTAATATCATACGCTTTCAAAGAAAGGTCATTGACCCAAAATCCGCGATAAAGTACACACTTAATGGAAGTATTATCAGTTAAAATTTTGACACGTGTCACACACAAACTGGAATAACCAGATGATAGACACAAGTGTTTATAAACTTGACACTAAGGTTTGACTAGAACTTCTGAGGAACAAATACCGATCTGGAATCTGGATAAAGGGGGGAATCTAATAATATTGTTTTAGCAAGTTTCGTGAGATTAATTTGGAGAGATTTGTGTATCGTAGTTAATTATTTTTTTAACCCTAATAATTTTTTAATCTTCTTGTCGATTATACCAATTAGAATATCTTAGTTTTAAGTACAGTATTGTGTCTCGAACGTAATGAATAGTTTAAGTTATTTTTTTTACCATCCACCAAAGGGAAAAACATAAATAACATGTTAGTTACTCCGACTTTTAGGTTGTTTCGAAGGATTTTCCTCTAGTCGACATGGCGATGAAGGCCTACGTAGGGTGGTAGAGATGTCCGAGCACTGGCGAGTCTTCACATTGGGACGTTTCCCCACTTCTGTTTCATTGTCGCTAACGGAGACTTGTGAAACCATGGTAACAATATCAAGTTGGAGCAGTTCGTGACACGTGGAAAGCTTTCTAAATTGAAAGAATTTCATTACTTCGACACACTATTTGGTTTCTAAGTAATTACTTCAACATTTAACATTATATAATAGCAGTTCTTGGAATTAGACTGTCTATAACTGACAGTTCTTGGAATTAGACTGTCTATAACTGACTGGAGACCCAATTTAAATACTTTCTTTAAGAAATAATGATAACAAAAACGCAATGGTAAGAAAATAATTGCCTAAAACTAGATAAAGATCAATGTTAAATGTCACAACGAAATGCTTGTATCCCAAGTAAGAGAGTTAACACACAGGATCAGTTCTACGTTCCATCTTTACGTAAGGAATATATGACAAACAAAACTAATCAAACAAGCATTAGTACCGAACTTTGATTCAATTGCTTACGTTGTCACTTGTTTTGCTGTTACAAGGAATGATCCTTGTTTACCTTGTCACTTAGTTTGTTGTTACAAGGAATGATCCTTGTTTACGTTGTCACTTAGTTTGCTGTTACCCTTTCAGAATAAATCGTACAGGAAATAACCCGAACATTGGAAATAATAGATAAATCAAACTGACTCAAGATTATATCAATCTCGAAATAATAATTCGAGCAATTTCGAAAGATTGACCTAACTTTTTCCGCAGAATATATCTTTCTGTGATACCTCGCACCCCGATTGCTGAGCGGTAAGCCTGAGGACTCATAACGCTAAAAGATAGCCCACAGTGTACCTTTGCGCTTAACTACAAATAAACAAATAATATTTGATATGTTATTCACATAATGAGAATAATTATTTTTCTATGTAAACTTGCTTTCAACTTGAGTCTAGTTTGAGTTATCTATTATTTCCATAGTTCGGGTTATTTCCTATACGATTTATTCTGAAAGATCAACTTGAGTCAGTTTGAGTTATCTATTATTTCCAATGTTCGGGTTATTTCCTATACGATTTATCCTGAAAGGTCAACTTGAGTCAGTTTGAGTTATCTATTATTTCCAATGTTCGGGTTATTTCCTATACGATTTATTCTGAAAGGTCAACTTGAGTCAGTTTGAGTTATCTATTATTTCCAATGTTCGGGTTATTTCCTGTACGATTTATTCTGAAAGGTCAACTTGAGTCAGTTTGAGTTATCTATTATTTCCAATGTTCGGGTTATTTC